CGGTCCCGCTCATCCTTTCGTCGGACAAAACAAAACCCGACGCGCGTTACCTATTCAAGGAGTCATGCGGCAACCGTCGCCGCAGTTGGTGGTTCACCGAGAGCACAGTACACGGCATTGAGATTCACAGAGACGCTGACAAGACCGATGATCGAATATCAATAAAAGTCTGCGCTGGAAGGTCCCATGACAGTGCAAGATGAAAAGGCGAACTATCATCCCCATCAATACCACTACGGACTGCCACGACCTCTGGTAACTAGCTCACTACGTGTTTGAAGGTCATGCAGCCAGGACCGCTCACTTGCTCACGAACTCTCACTACTAGCTCACTGCGTTTGAGGATCGATTGTCAGGACGATTGGGGCGCATCTATCACTGGCCCACAGAGCTGATGATTATGAATGCATTGACGGAGCAGGGGGTCGCCGCACAAATGCAGAACCACCCTCAGAGCGGGCACATCATGTTCGAAGGCGCGTTGAAACCTACAAATGGCGTGCCGAACACCATCAGCATGCGAGAGATTCAGAAGAAGGGTGAGTTCACAGAGGCCGACATCGCCAGCATGAAGGCATACCGCGCCATTGCTTCTGGCCGCCGCTGCCGCCTAGAAACACATAATCAGAATGAGGACTAGAGTATCCCAGTCGGCTTCCAGGCATCTTCAGAGACTATCCTGAAGTCACGCTGTATCCGATTCACCTGTTCAGCTCTCAACAGATCCGCGTCACGCGTTTCATGGCAACATATCGGTGCACTACTGTGGGCTACCAGCAGCTCGCTCCTCCTCCCCCTCCTCCTCCCCCTCCTCCTCACCCCTCTCTTTCCTCCTCCTCCTCCTCCTCCACCTCCTCCTGCTGCTGCTGCTCCTTCTCCTTCTCCTCCTCCTCCCCCTCCTGCTGCTCCTCCTCCTGCTCCTGCTCCTCCTCTTTCTCCTCCTCCTCCTCCTCCTCCAACTCCATCTCCAACTCCTCCTCCTCCTGTTCCAACTCCTCCTCCTCCTCCTCCTTATCCTCGTCCTCCTCCTCTTCCTCCTCCTCCTCCTTCTCTTCCTCCTCCTCCTTCTCCTCTTCCGCTTCCTTCTCTTCCTCCTCCTCCTCCTCCTCCTCCTCCTCCTCCCTGTCCTACCCATGGTGGTGGTGGTGGAACATCGGCCCATCAGCGCTCCCGCCCGCAGCCCGCGCGTCCGAGCGCGGGCTGCGGACTATAAGCTCTGGCTGAGACTCGGGCTGCGGCTTGGGCTGGGTTGGGTTCGGCCAGTCGGGGGGTGTCGGGAGCGCTGAGCATCGTTGAACCGACCCCTCTCCCCATGGGCGTAGCCTGGGCCCTACTGGGCCGACTAACCCCCCTAGATGGGGAAATTGGCTGTTTCCTTCGGACTTCGACAGAGAGACGTCCCAAACCAGGATACTGAGATGGTGGAGAGAACTACGAGAAGGGATGGATGGAGGGAGGGAGGAGGGAGGAGGAGGAAGGAGGAGAGTGGAGGAGGATGGGGGGAAGAGGAGGAGGAGAGGAGGAGAGGCGGAGGGGGGCGCAGGAGGACGGGAGAAAAGGTATGGCGGGCAGGGGCATAGGGGCATTGGGAACGAGGTGGAGGGCGCGACCAACACGTGGCGGCGCGCAGCCAGGTGCGCCAGGAGGCATCTCTGGCCGCCTCGTCGTCCTACGCTGCAGCATTCGGGCCCCTCAACTGGTGGTCGTCGTCCTCACCTCCCCTCCTCCCCCCTCCTCCTCGTCCTCCTCCTCCTCCCCGCCTCCGCCTCCTCTCCTCCTCATCTTCCCCTCCTCCTCCTCCTGACTCCTCCTCCTCCTTCCTCTTGTCTTCCTCGTTTTCCCCTCCTCCTCCTCCTCCTCCGCCCTCCTCCTCCTCCCTTTCCCTCCTCCTCCTCCTCCTCCTCTCTTCTCCTCCTCCTTCTCCTCCTCCTCTTCCTCTCCGATCACTCCTCCTCTCCTCCTCCTCTTCCTCCTCCTCCATCCTCCTCGCTCCCCTCCTCCCCCTCCTCCTCCTACCCTAACCTTCTTCTCCTCCTCCTCCTCCTCCTCCTCCTCCTGATCTCTCCTCCTCCTGCCTCCTCCGCTCATCGCCCTCCTCCCCCCCCTCTCCGTCCTCCTTCGGACCGGAGACATCGAGGCGTCCGGCCCCTCGGCATGCTGGGGCCCCCCATGGGCCTTCTGGGCGGCTCTCGCGCAGCCCACGCCCGGACGCAGCGCGAAGCAGCGACCGACCTTTTGGGGTCGAGGAGGGCCTCTTTAGAGGGCCTCTTTAGAGGGCAAGAGGCCCTCTAAAGAGGCCCTTCTCGACGCCAAAAGGTCCATCGCTGCTTCGCGCTGCGTCCGGGCGTGGGCTGCGCGAGAGCGGCCCAGAAGGCCCATGGGGGGCACCAGCAACCCTCGGCACCTCCCCCCTGTGGGAATTGAAAACACATGGATAAAATAGCGGATCATAGTGATAATAATGACATGTGAACTCCAAACCAGAGCATGTTAAGGGTTGATCGCCCCGCAGAGCGAGACGCATCGAAGAACTGGCCAGGATGGACGACGGGAGGGGTCTGTGCGAGAACCGGCTTGGAGCGGCGCTTCGCCACTCGAGCGGTGGAGGCAAGGGAGCGCCTTGCGCGCGAGGGCGCAGCGGAGCGACCTTCCGCGGCGGCGGTTTTACGCAAGCCGCCAGCGCAGCACATCGCGTGGGAACTGGACGCTTGCGCGCAACCTTGCGCGCGCAGTTTGCCCGCGAGTGTCCCCGGGGTTGGCCAACCACCCTGAAAGGCAAGAGAGCGCGCCTACACCTCAAGCGCTACCGTTCGGGAGGCCCTGCACATTCGCCGCGCCGGAGCTTGTCTGTCGCGCCCTGCCTGGCGACGACCCAGGAAGTCCGCGCGGGCCCCCGAGAGTTCAGGTTCACAGTCAAATCGCATACTAAGGATGCGCGGCAAGGGCGCCAGGGCCCTGGAGGGCCATGTTGCTGTTTTCGAGCAGGGCTGGTCAGCGAAAGCCGCCAAGAATGGGCGGAAGGGGCAAGGATGCAAAAGGGCAGCCTTGCACAGTCTCTTATCCTTGCTATGCGACCTGACTGTGTGTCGTAGCGTTTCTCGCTCTTCGAGCAGGGAGCGGGGGGGACCGGTCTCCAAGAGGCCGGGCCGGCGGACGTCTGGGGAGGAGAGAACACCAGAGTCTCAGCAGCGCGCGCCGCCATCGTGCGCTGCTCGCGCTCCGCCGGAGTCTCGACGGCGTCGAACGTAACGACGGCCACCAAGAGAACATTTTGTGCACCAGAGCCGGCCGCAACACGAAAGGGCCGAAATACTCCCTCGCGTCGTGACCGGATCAGGACAAAGCATTTTTCGAGGCAAACGGCCGAGTCCTGGGCGAAGAGCCGCTTCCGGTGAAAGTGGGTCGAGAACTCCGGTGATAGAAATCCGCCGACGAAATCGGCGTGTGGAAGACGCTGTTCTGTTTGCCTCGACGTCGTTGTCGTCGTCGTCGTCGTCGTCGTCGTCGTCGTCGTCGTCGTCGTCGTCGTCGTCGTCGTCGTCGGCGTAGTCGACGTCGTCGTCGTCATTTTCGTCGTCGCCGTCGCGTTTGGCCCCTTTCCCTGGGCCCGTCGCCGCCCCCCCCCCTTTCCACTCGGCCCTCCTCCGCAAGCGGGCCAGCCAGAGCGACTCCAGAGCGAAATTGAGCGATGCCCCACTTGGGTCGGAGGGAAACCCCCTTCCCTTTGATCCCTTCCCTCGGGGCTTCGTAAACGGGGGGTTTCGCTAAACGGGGATACAGGCTTGTCGTTGTCCATATATCCCCGTTTACTGTACCCCCCCGTGTACGGCGCCCAGGACCCCCTAAACGGGGGCATAGCCCAAACGTGTAAATCGGCGTTCCCCATACCCCCGTTTGTTGTGCCCCCGTCTCTGGCGCCCTGTGGGGGGGGGTCCCGGGTCAGAATATCAAGAGGGCCCCGAATCGCCGAACCATCGGCCCAAGACGCCAAAGATGGCCTCCTGACAGCCCACGCGGCTTCCAAGATGCTCGAAGAGGCTTCCAAGAGCACACCGCACACCAAGTGGGACCCAGCAGGCCCAATTACATGATTTCCATTAGGGTTATTGAAAGATTCTGGCGTTCACGCCTTTTCCCCTTCCCAACGCCCCACGGCGATCCAAGATGCCACCAAGATCGGCACAAGAGACCACCAAGAGGTTTCCAA